ATCCTAACTTTTTTCCTTCCTCCCTGTTCTTCCCGTTTTATTATTTGCTTATATATTTCTGTCTTTAACAATGGCGCGCGCGAAGCGCACGCTTGTTATGTCTAGTAAGGATAAATGATGCATCATGCGCATCATGCATGAAACGGAACGCAACCTCTATCAAGCGCGTTGGAGTGAGTAAGAGCTATGGTAGGAGCATATTGGAACATGTTGGAGCATGCGACACGAACAAACCTCATGATACACAATCGACCGGACCTATTACGGAAATTTGCATAATTAGAGAAATCAATTGATCGCGAGCCGGAATAAAAAATGCGCGCGTTGCCTGCAATTTTTGCACTCAGCATCTTTGCTTTCTTTTCGTCGAACGAATATATTTTTATCTCGTTTCAAGTGCAAAAATTTTTAAAGATTTCAATCAACGCAAACAAACCTATTGCGCACGCGATTGGCCGGTTCGCTCGAACAAGCGTTAACTCGTGTCATCGTGACTATAGAAATTTATTTTTTTCAATGGATTTCATTTTAATAAAAAAACGAATAAATGAATTTCGGCTATTTCGACAACGGGTCTTCCTTCCGTGCTTGACTTCCGCGGCGACTTCTTCGAAAACAGAAAATACACGGCCGTCACGTACGAATTACGGAGAAGCGGATATTCGCAGGTATTCGTGAAGTGTCGCGAACGCCATTGAATCGGCAGGGGTGCCGTTACTGCCGTTAGTTGCATATCACGAAGAACAGTTAAATTGCAACCGCATTGGCCGCTCGTCCCCATTCTCCCCGGCGACGTCCGCCGTCGAACGGATCGTGATAGACAACGTCAGATTCCAATCCAACGTAGCGATAGCAATAAGTGCATAGGTGATAACGTCATCTTACAACACGATTACGAGACGCTATTTTCGCATGACGGATCGGCGGGGAGAAGAAAGAGAATAGTGGAAAGGTACGGATTGATATTGACACCAGTGACATCCGAGACGGCTGAGGCTTCAAAGCTCAAAAAAGTGTACCGGCGAGATGAGCTACCTAAAGTCGATCGGCACCGCCATCATCTACATCGGCTTGATCCTAGCCGTGATCACGTTCATACCCGGTCTACCACCAGAGACAGAGTTTGTGGAGTACAGGTATTAAGACGTAATCGAGAAGAAAAAAAAATTCGCTCGAATCATGGCTGATCATTACGACTATCTCGTTGATTTTGATCTTGGATCCTTGCAGCATAATTCCACCGCGTCAATTAGATCCCAAGGTGGGCCCGAAAAATCGGCTGAACGACGTCCAGAAGCTGTTCGATGGCGAGATTAATTCTCCAGAGAGTTTTGATTCCTATAATGGACAGCTCTACACCGGAGTCCATGGTGGTTATGTCCTTAGGATCGAGGAGGATCGTATAGTGCCGTTTGTCAAGTTTGGCGAGAAATGCGGTAAAGTTGTATAGATTGTACTGTGACCTGTATACATCCTTTTTTATAAAGAATAGTTCTTTGTTTCAGTAGCTGTCCTTTAAATTTATTTATTCTTTCTCAAAACTTAGTTTTGCCCTTCATTTTTAATAATATTAAGGGAAATTTCTTTCTAATTAGCACTCCAATGTCTAATATCACACTAATGAGTGAATATTTATGGAAATAACTGAAATTTAGTTTTATGCAAAGACGATATTAGCCCAAGCAGACCAACAAGTCACAATAACGTCAAAATTACATAAAAATAAGTCCTGGTTGATTGAAAAGTAACTTTTAATAATCAAATTTTAATAACCTACTTTGATGTCATGATGACTTATGTTTTACTTCGGAATTATTCAGATATACTGCTAAAAAAAATTTCAGAAATTAATACGCATTCCGATAGTCACAAATTAGTTATAAATATTTACAAATAAAGTCCTAAAATTTTCAAGTTTGTCCTTTATTTTCTCTGAGAAAATATGGTCACCATATATATAGGTGGAAACATTTAAGTTTCTCAGAATAGAATTATCGTATGAATTTTAATGAGACTTGATAAATATTGATTTAGTATTGATTAATTGCATTGCATTATACAAATGCAGTTTTTATTCATCAAGTTATTTTATATAACATTATGTAACTTTTCTACATAAACTCATTTATCAATAGATGAACTTAAAAATTCGCTTATACTTGAACAAAGAAGTAGAACAAAATAATACTTGATTGGTAGAAGTTTTTTAATCGAAGTTGTTTTGTGGACAAACGATTAGATATATAGATAAGAAAATATCAGAACTGACAAGGCAGGTTTCGCACTGTCCGCAACCGATTTGATTCTTCATGAAATATGTTGTTAAACACGAAAATCCAAAAGAGGCACGTATTTTTTTATATGTGCTCTAACTCATATTTATATAAAGAGTGAAACACGAAAATCTAAGAGATACGTTTAAGGGGTGAAACACCCCTTTGAAAAGAAAACGGTATTTTTCTTTCAAGGCGAATATCGTCGGAAGTATAAAAGATAGAAAAAATTATTTTAAATAAAAGTTGTACGGTTTCAGGAGTACTTCAATATATTACGAAGAAAAAAAAATTTTTTTAATTTTTTTGTTTAATTGTTAATTTAAAAAATTTTTTTTCTATTTTTAAACTTCCGACGATGTTCGCCTCGAAAGAAAAATACCGTTTTTTTTTTTTTTTCCAAAGAGGTGTTTCACCCCTTAAACGTATCTCTTAGATTTTCGTGTTTAATAACATATTTTTTGGAGAATCAAATCGGTTCCGGACAATTGTAAAACTTCCCTTGTGAGTATGATTTTAGTAGTGTCCTCATATACATTAACAGTACTGAAAATTTATGCTATACAGGGTGTTAGTTAAGTATGTTGCCATACTCAACAGAGCGATTCTTTGGTTTATTTCAAGTAAAAAAGTCCATGTAAATATGTGTCCTAAACAGCTTAGTTTCCGAAATAAAAAAATTTAAATGTGTAGTAATAATCTGTTTATTTGAAAGAAATACAGCTTGAACTAGTCAAAAACTAGTTAAAAACAGGAAAAAAAAAACAAAAACACAGGCTTCAGTTCTTCTGATGAAATAAAACAATTAGATGAATTGTTGAAAATGTCCACCTTGCGATTTTGATGGACTGAAACAATTTGGCTCGAAAACGTATGTACAAGCTAACTGACCCGCAGCAACATTAGAACTGAAGTCTATTTTTGATTTTGTGACTTTGACTTTGTCACTTTGTTTACGGTTGTGTGAATGGTAACTCACGTGAAGCAAGGCATATTTATGCAAGAACATATCTCCAACGCAATTTACCGTTTCGTCAAATATTTGCGAACATTCGCCTGTATTTCGGAAACTAAGCCGTTTAGGACACATGTTTATATGGACTTTTTTACTTGAAATAAACCAAAGAATCGCTCTGTTGAGTATGGCAACATACTTAACTAACACCCTGTATATAACATGAACTATAGATGTTCAGTACTGGCAGTGTATGTTAAACAAGGCTTTCATAAATATCAGTAACATTTAACAGTAATAATTTTTCAAAAAATTTTATTTAAAAATGATAAATCACTCAAATTGCAAAGAAGGGGCTTAGAAATGAATCTCACAAATTGACTTTTTCCAAATAACACATGTCAATTTTGTTTATTCTCTGTATTTTAATTTACGATATCAAAAGATGATTACAAAAATTTAGTTGACACTGATATGACTTATGAGAGACTTCCAAGGTCAAATAAAGGTCGCTACTTTACACATCTTTATAAACCATTATTTATATATCTTTAGAAACCAAGCAACTTTTGTCCGAAACATTCTTGAAGGAAATACATTATTTATCTCTCCGAAGTATTTACATATTACTTTACATATCTTTATAAACCATTATTTGTTAGTATTGAATAGTTTCTTTTTGATAAATTATTTTATAGTATCTTGAATCAAAGTCCAAAGAATAAACAAATTCAGCGTGTGATATTTGAAAAAGTTACTTCTCATGAGATACATTTCATTAAACTGCATATGCTCATGTGACAAATAATACTTACATAATACTTACATAATACTTACATGGTACTTCCGAACGATATAGACGATATAAACCAACTTTGCACACATTTGTTAAATATGGACTTATATTCAATGTAATTATACACATGTGTATGTATGATATTCACTAACGTTGGTGAACGTTGGCCATATCATTAGAAGACGCCTTAATATTAACGACTGTGATTTTTATACTCTATATAAGATGATAAATCAAAATAACAAAACTGATAACATTCGAACGAAATCAGTATTTCTTAGCTTTTTAAATAAAACATGATGTGTATATATATGTATGAAGTAATACAGAATTAACAAATACAAATTTTAAGGTAAAGTTAATACAATTAATTATATCAAAGTATATAATAAAATATTGATAATGTATTTTCTTATGAAATTTACAGATGGCATTTGGCAAGAACACAAATGTGGAAGACCATTGGGATTAAAGTTTGATAAGAAAGGCAATTTATATGTAGCGGACGCTTATTACGGAATTTTCCAAGTAAACGTTGCAACCGGAGAGTATAAAAATATAGTGAATGTTACTAAACCAATTGATGGAAAAGTTCCACGATTACCAAATAGCATAGATGTCGCAAAAAATGGAGACATTTACTGGACTGACAGTAGCACAGACTTTTCTCTTTATGATATAATGATGATATTGCTAACGAATCCATCAGGAAGGTAATAAAAAAAGATGCAAATTATAAAATCAGTTTTATACTACTGAATATATGCATATATCATATATATTTATATATATATATATATATATAAGTTAATTATATTAATTACACACTTATACGTTATAATGTAGCTAAGAAGGAAAACGAAGTATTGATACGAAATCTTGCATTCGCAAATGGTGTTTTATTAAGTGATGACGAAAGTTTCGTACTTGCTGCGGAAACAGTAAAGAATCGTATTATGAAATATAATTTGAAAGGACCAAAGGCAGGGCAGCATGAGATTTTCATTGATGGATTACCAGGTATACCGGACAATATTCACAGCGATGGTCATGGTGGTTTCCTCCTTTCTTTGATCATTGCTGATAATCCTGATCATCCTCTAATTTTCCAATCTCTCATGCCACATCCCTATTTGAGAAAAATGTTGGTACGGTTGTTAATGATGATGGAATTGCCATTTAAACTATTAAATGATGTTTATCCTAATCTCTACACTGAGAGAATTTTGCATGCAATCGGATCGTATCAAAGCGCAGATATTGTAAGCAATCCACAGGAGAAAAGTTCATTGTTAAGAATAGATGCATCTGGTAATATTATTGAAATCCTTACTTCAGACGATGACTTAATTCGTCATGTAAGTTCAGCTTATATACACAACGGCTTTTTGTGGTTGGGCTCTCCGTTTAAAAACAATCTCGGCAGAATTCCGTTGAAACAAGTTTTCCCTGATTTAGCTGATAGTGCAAAACAATCTTCTCATACAAGGAGTGAAAAGCAATCTCCGAACGTTGCTGCTTCTAATGTAAAGACAGAAAGAATCAAACGAGACACAGATTCTACGACAGTAAGACCGATCGAGTCGAACAGAGCTTCCCAGACAACAACGCCTAAACCAACTGCTGCTCCCACAACCACACCTAAGCCAAAAACCGCTGCTACGCCAAAACCATCTCCAATTCCTAAAACAGATAAACCTACGGCTAGCAATGTGAAACCATCGGAAACTAAATCATCTACGAATGCCGAAGCCAAAAAGAACAATGCAAAAACAGTTGACGATACGAAATTAAATTCCCCAAAGTCGGAAAAGAGTAATAAAAAAGAGGATACTACAAAGACACAATCCGAAAAGAAAGTAAAAGTAGAACAGAATGCTTCTGTAAAACAAACAGAGCAAAAATCACAATCCGAGAAAGTTAAACGGGAAACAAACCGTCCGAAAGACGACCTGTAAATAAAAAAGTAAATAAACTATGATATATTTGTGATACCCACCAACACTTGTTGAACGGTACACTCCATATTTTTCAGACATTCCATTAAAAGAGAAAAACAGGTTGAGGATATATATAGATTAACGATTTCTCATCTCTCTTTGCTTATGCATTTTTATCATCCACGTTGTTATATTCGAGTTATGCGTATGTGAATATAAGTTACGTATATACGAATTATGTGAATCATTATAGGTGCTATGATTGCACCTATAAAAGGTAAGTTTTACAAAAAATAAGTTCAAAATAATCAAGATGGATTACTGGAATAGGAACTTAATCCTAAAGCCGTCTGTATTACCGACTAAATCGTAATTTTTGTGTAACAAATATTTTTTTTCTCTTCCACAGATTCGAAAATCCTTTTCCAGAATTAAAGTATATACATTAATACGTATTTGTAAGGTGGAATTTATACTGAAAACGACAAAAAATTTCGAAATTGAAATCTTAAAAAAAATTTTTTGTCGCGTTCTCGGCATAAACTCTACTTCACAAACACGTATTAATGTGTATATTTTAATCCTGGAAAAGAATTTTTGAATCTGTGAAAGAGGAAAAAAGTATTTGTTATACAAAAATTACGATTTAGTCGGTAATACAGACGGCTTTAGGATCTCCTTGAGATTAAGAGAAAATCTTTGAAAGATAATTAATTTAATTTTTAAACTCGATTTTTTTAATTAATTCCCTTTAAAAATCTTTCATATTTTAATTTTGATTTTTTTAATATAAAATCACATTTCTAATTATACTTTTGATGATGGATAACTTGTATTCCATAGATAAGAATGTGAAAAATATTAGAAAAATCTATCCGCTTTATTACAGTGACTAAAAATGAGGATAAAAATTTAGAGAAAGTTGTATGTTGGCGACTGTAATGTATATATGAAGTTGAAAGATTTTTGCAAATTTTATTATACGTTTTTCATTCATATAGTATATGTACTAATTTTTATACTTTATATCCTAATTGTATCTAAATCGATATGATATGAAAGGAATTTGGTACTCTTTTTTTTTCGCAATCTTAATTATTACTTTAGATTGAACATCTATCGCTTTATCTGTATTAGTTTTCAGTTTAAACATACAAGATATATATCAAAATATTGAAGTGATTAGCTGGCAGCACAAATATTTTTTTAAAGGAAACAAGCTATATCTTGTCAAAATGTTGAAGTTATTTTACATCTATGTTTGTGAAATAATTTTTTATAAAAAAAATCTTTTTATATCTTTTTTATTTATAATACGAATAATATCCATATAATTGTAACTATACCGTAATGTCATGGACATTAAAATGTAATTTACGCAAGTTTCAACAAGTGAGAAAAAACAAATCCTAAAACAAGTGCTATAGATAGTTAAAGGACTGACATAAGTGTTTTTGTTGATCGACGATTATAAATAATAACTTTGTTATATGGTATCAGGTGCGAGATGTAAGATAATTATAAGAATTGTACAGTTTGGCAACTACACAAATAAAATCGTCTTTTTCGATAGTTATCACTTGTGCAAATATCTAAGATTTTCCAAAAACATTCCTTCACCCATTTACTTCTACATATTCGAAATGTCTAGGAAAAAGATTCAACATTAGTTTAGTATTTTTAAATGTCACTTTTTTTTATTAAATCGGACATTCACTCTAGAGCTGTTACTTTTGACAATTTCGAAGCTTCAAAGAATTCGAATCTTCGAAGTTAACTTCGAACTGTAGAAGTTTAAGATATCTCCAAAGATTCAAAGTTCCAATGTCAAAGCCTTTGAAATAAATCACTAACTTTAGTTCACACAATTATTCTTTATTACAAGACACATGAAATTGTGAAAACAATAACTTTTATTAAACTTTTATTTAAAAATCTTAAGTACATAATATATGCATTCTCTCTCTTGTACAAACTATTAAAAAATATATCACTCTAAAAGTTTATTGTCGAAGTAAGTCAAACACTCACAGATCAAGCCGTTTCACTACATTCATAGGCAACAATGATTTCATTTTGTCAATCACGAACATTTGTGTCTTCCATAGAACAGTTGGCTGTTTGACAAAATGCCAATATCCATTTCTCCTACGTACTGCCCACTTTTGCGCGTTTGCTAAAGATTTTTTATATGCTAGAACTTGCTTATCCTTTAGCTTTGTCCAAGGTTCATGTACTGTAGCTAGGCCTAATTTGACTAGTTCCTCGCCAATCTCTAACGAGTCCTATTTGTAAAAATGATACATGAACACAGTATAAATATTCAATGTTGGGTGCTTTCCAGCAAGACATAAATGACACAGTGTAACACAAGTAAATCATTACATCTCCAAAAAATTTAAACGTAACATTGAAGGCTAATGAAAGCGTGGAAATTGGAGCGTTAATTAATAAAATAAATATCTTTACTCAATTTACTTGGTTGAACGTTTCGAATCTTACCTATTTTCATCTTGTTGCCAATGTTAAACAAAGATGAAATGATCACTATGTTATACTATGTCTCTTGCTGAAAAATATCAGATGTGAACATCATCTGTTTTTCTCACTTGATCCTTCTGTGGCATTGCAACCACACACTCCAAATATTCCTTCTCTTTGACTATAGGCACAAATGTGATGAGTTTTTCATTGAGCACGGTTTGCAACCAACTTACACCTACAAGATTGATCCACGGTTTAAAAATAGTTATATATAAGGTTGTCAAATATCTCCCTTCCGCTTTATTGCTCTTTAAAAAGTGTTACAGTGATCGGATTTAGTTCAAATATGCGCCGTTTTGTTCGATAATCTGTTTCCATCTAGACGGCAACTTCATAATACCCCCCTCGTAGAAGCCCCCCTCCTTACTTGCGAAGAACTCGGACAGCCACTTTTCACAATCCTGTATTGAGTTCAACTTTACACCACCAAGGGCGTTCGCCATGGACAAGAACAGGTGGTAATCACTTGGCGCTATGTCCGGGCTATATGGTGGATGCGATAAAACCTCCCATCCGAGCTCCCGTAGCTTCTGACGAGTCATCAACGAAATAGCGCGAATTTCGGCGTTAGTGAACTCCATGTTTACACGTCTATAACTGTTGAACGCAATATCCAAACTAATCATGCATAGCGTCGTTTTGTAGGTTATGTCAAGACCTTTGAAATGGTGTATAGTATTGCCAGATACGACCTCTGTAGCGCTTTGTACATAGCCGCGAAATTCAAAAGACAAAAAAGCGGAAGGGAGATATTTGACAACCTAATATATGGATTTCGTTATCAACTCAATACCTACCGTTGCCTGTAATGTTAACGCCACCAATTTTGACAGGCAAGTAAGTCTTACTGTTGAAGTGGAGAAAAGGCAGCAAAGGTCGATGATCGACCATTAGCAGAACCCTAGTGGAGCTTGGTTCCACGTGCCGTACAGTTCCCTGGAGTGGGACTCGTGATTGCATGAAATGCAATGGGACGTCAGACGGTTTTGTGAACTTGGCGAACTGGAAAGCAACGGCAGAAAATCAATCGTGAGGCATACAAATGATTAGATAGACTCAATTTATACTTACGGGTCTAATTTTGTACAGGGCTGCAAATAGGCCGGCGCTGGCGATTCCGTAAGTAATAAGCTGAAGAAAAGAAAGATAAATAATAGCAAGTACAAAATATAAATTAACAGTAAAATTATATCGATACTATAATTTCTCACTCAATAATATATGTATTATAATAACACATGTTGAGTACATAACAATTACATTAATATGTAGGAAATTATAATTAATAATCCTTATTACACATGATTAGGTTATTTGTGTTCTGCATATTTATTTTCTTCGAAATCTAAGAGCATCACATAATTATAATATTTATATACAATTTGTTTAAACACACAACTTTACAAACATTTTCTAAAGATATTAAAGTATATACAGAATTACTTAATAATTTTTGTATATTTGTTAAAGTGATGAAAATTAACCCGCGACAACTAAGGATTAATTGTACTCAAAAAATTACATACCATACGCAAGTAATAATTACTTATTTCAAGTATTTAAAATATTCATTTGCAAATCTATCACAAGTTCACTATAAACATTATTTAAAATACATATATTCTGAATTCTAGTAAGTTTAATGCTTCAATAAAGATAAGTAAATTAAAACAAATTCGATTTGCTTATTATATAAAGTCTTCTTCGATCAATTTTACATTATTCTTCAAAAGAAAATTAATTCTTGTTTTGAGTACATAATAATGAGTTTTTCTAAAGTTTGTAATATATGCATATATATATATATTATAAATAAATGTTAATATGGCTCAATTAGAATAAATCAATAAATAAAAGAAAGGCAACGAGCCAATTATAATGTAAGATCTTTAATAAACGTATATATACAAACGTTTCGACACCGATCGGGTCATTTTCAATGTAAAATAACAAACACTCTTACATACATTATCAGAAAATTCGGTCAAATTATATTGTCCAGTGAAAAATTAGTTGAATTCATAAAATGCGGTATATGTAAAACTATCAAAAGAGATCACATCTCACTTTTCGCAATTCTACAATCTCAATAATAAATAATACATTAACATTGCGTTTTAGATTAAATTATCGATGTACATTTATAGTAAATTAAATTAAAATGCAAATTAAATAAAACATATATGTATACCTCATATTGTCTCAATGATGTAAAGTAGACGACGATAGGAATACACAATTAACAAAGTTATATTTAATAAAAAAGTTATATTTAATAAAAAATAAGCCACGATACAATCTTCTTGATCTTTTTGTCATAACGTCGCATGACATCGTTGAGTTTAAATGTTACATCCAATTGTATCATGGCTTATTTTTTATTAAATATAACTTTGTTAATTGTGTGTTCCTATCGTCGTCTACTTTACATCATTGAGACAATATGAGGTATACATATATGTTTTATTTAATTTGCATTTTAATTTAATTTACTATAAATGTACATCGATAATTTAATCTAAAACGCAATGTTAATGTATTATTTATTATTGAGATTGTAGAATTGCGAAAAGTGAGATGTGATCTCTTTTGATAGTTTTACATATACCGCATTTTATGAATTCAACTAATTTTTCACTGGACAATATAATTTGACCGAATTTTCTGATAATGTATGTAAGAGTGTTTGTTATTTTACATTGAAAATGACCCGATCGGTGTCGAAACGTTTGTATATATACGTTTATTAAAGATTTTACATTATAATTGGCTCGTTGCCCTTCTTTTATTTATTGATATATATATTATATATATAATATACTTGTATTTTATATATATATATAATACAAGTATATTTCAAATTATTATCAAGAAAATATTCTTTGCTAAAAGTAACCGTTTCTTGAAAGGAAGAAAATAAATGAAGTATTTCTTAGCAAATGAATGATATTTTTCTGTGTGTAATGTTACTGTTAATTTCTGTATTTCTGTGGGAAGCGGGTGGCGAAGG